CTACATTTTGGCTGGGATAGGGGGTGGGTGGAGAGGATCAAGCCTGGTAGAAAGATAAAGTTTAATTTTAGAAATGTTTAACTGCTGCTGGAAGATAAAAAGTTGAATGAGACATATGACATACCCACTTCTTTAAAAGTGCTCGCAGTGACCTTATTAATGCAGAAGAGTATACAAGGACCGTGTACTTCCAGAGGAGGTGGGAGTAGGGATGGGGATAAGAACTTCTGGGATACCCAGGGAAGATGGTGACTGAGGTGCATCTTACATGATAGGTAGAAGTTCAGTAGAAGGAGATATGAAAAGTTTGAATCTTATGATGCAATTTCCCTTCCCATCTTGTTTGGTGTTTAATGGCTATTCCTCTTCTTTTCAAAAGGATCTACCGCTACCAGTCTCATGACTATGCCTTCAGTAGCGTAGAAAAGTTACTACATTCTCTTGGAGGGGACGAATTCCTTGGAATGCTTAACCGAACACTTCTTGAAACCCTGCAGAAAGCAGGCTTCTCTGAGAAATTCCTCAATGAAATTGTTGCTCCTGTCATGAGGGTCAATTATGGCCAAAGCATGAACATCAATGGCTTTGTGGGTAAGCCCAGGCTTGGAATATTATGGATATTAGCTCACAAAAGGGCTTACCTGATGTGTGGTGACTCCTTACTTTAGGCTATGAATTAGAGAAGACTTACCTTTTCCTGAAACCTCAGACATTGTTGGCAAAATTGTGTATATGTAGATCTGTGCATTTTTAGGGGGAGAGAGTCCTTAGCTTTCATAGAGATTTTGCCCTCAGGGGCTATTTGGCAATGTCTGGAGACATTTGGAGTAGAACTCACCTGAATTGGGAAGAGAAAGTAGGTAGAGGGACTTTTACAGAGTCAGAATTAAAATACATTTTTTTTTTTTTTCCTACCACTGACAGGGGCAGTATCAATGTCCTGTGCGGATTCTGGCCTTTGGGCAGTAGAAGGTGGAAATAAACTTGTTTGCTCAGGGCTCCTTCGTGCGTCCAAAAGCAACCTTATAACTGGCTCAGTAATGTACATAGAGGAGAAAACAAGGACCAAGCGGACAGGTGAGCCTGAAATTCTATTTTATTGTTCCTGATTTCCCCTCTAGAAAATAATTGCTCAGGGAGAAAAACCACTCTTCTGTCATCTTGCACTCATTTCCAAATGATGGAATTATAAATTGTGTGTATGTTGTGCCACACAGAAATATTCCCAAATGCGCTCAAGTACAGTGGCATGTCTCCTTGGAATTAAAGAATAATCTCATTCTTAAAAGTAAAAATTCTGTATTTTTTACTTACTGACATGGTATTCAAGAGTCAGACGCTTAACTGACTGAGCTACCCCCTGTGCCCCTAAACGTCTTTTTAATTCCTTAGAATTATACCTTAACTATTTTCTACTTTATAAACTATTAACATAATTATTTTTGGAAGGTATAAAGTATAGTGTGCTAGAAAGACTAACATGAATGCTTCTTTCCTCTAGGAAATCCCACAAAGATGTATGAAGTGGTCTACCAAATTGGATCTGAGACACGTTCAGACTTCTATGATATCGTCTTGGTGGCCACTCCATTGAATCGAAAAATGTCCAACATAACTTTTCTCAACTTTGATCCTCCAATTGAGGAATTCCATCAGTACTACCAACATATAGTGACAACTTTAATTAAGGGGCAACTGAATTCAACTCTTTTTAGCTCTAGAGCCTTAGACAAATTTGATCTCAGTACAATCTTAACCACTGATAATTCAGATTTGTTCATTAATAGCATTGGGATTGTGTCCTCTGTAACAGAAAAGGATAATCCTCAACCATCAACAGAAAGGGCGCATGTTTGGAAGATCTTTTCTCAAGAAATCCTCACTAAAGAACAAATATTAAAGCTCTTTTTGTCTTATGATTATGCTGTGAAGCAGCCATGGCTTGCATATCCTCGCTATAAGCCTCCAGAGAAATGCCCCTCCATCATACTCCACGATAGACTTTACTACCTCAATGGCATAGAGTGTGCAGCAAGTGCCATGGAGATGAGTGCCATTGCAGCCCACAATGCCGCTCTCCTTGCTTATCATCGCTGGAATGGGCACACAGACATGATTGACCAAGAGGACTTATATGAGAAACTTAAAACTGAACTATGAAATGATACTGATCACTTTCTTTTCCCCCTCCTGGTTCCAAATGGAATATCACTGGCAAAAAAGAACACAATCTGAGCAGAGATGATTTTGAATCTGATATTTTGCCATATATTAGTACTGTTTAACAAAAGTAATCCCAGTGAGTCATGAGAAAATAACAGGTTTCTAATTAAGCATGAAGGGGTTAACTACTATCTTTATACCATCTCCAAAATTTCTTAACTCTTCTTTTAATATCTGCCAACAGTATAGAATCACCTGAAGTTTGTTAAGCATGTGGTTTCTCTAGCTCCTCTGGAGATTCTGATTCACTAGGTCTGGTGGGTGGGGGCCCTGGATTTATTTCATGCTGAGCACTTGAGAAAGAATTTAAAGATGTTAACTTTTAGTTGGGGACTAGTTCATTTGTGCTTCACAGCTGGAAGTGACCTTCAGTCAGATAGTTAACACTTAACTATTAGAGCTGGTAGCCTATGCTTGGCTTTAATTTATACTTTTTCAAAGTAGATGTGCCCATGCTAGAAGCCTTGACTTTCTGAATATTCTTTGGATTCCTTCCCCCTTGATTTTATTAGGGGTGAAATTCAGAAGCCTTAGGAGAACTTTGTCATACAAAAATCTCAAGTAAAATGAAAGCAAATATAGGCTATTGATTTAAGAAATTGGCAGTCTATTATCAAATCCTCACCTATGGAACTTTAAGAAATATTGAAAGACCCCCATGCAACCAGAGATTCTGATCTAATGGATTGAGGATAGGATCTCAGCATTGTAGCTAAAAAGTTTCTAAAGTGCAACCTGGGTTGAGAATCACTAATGTGGGGGTTTAAGATGTCTCCAAAGGGTTTTTAGTGCCTTAAAAGTCCCAAGAAACTGAATGCATTATCAAAGCAGGTTCATTTTTGTGAAGAATCATTTCTCTCAATAAGAACTCTAGTAGTAATCTTGATAGTAAGCACTGACAGACAAGAGGCAACTTAGATTTCTCCAGAGCAGTTGACACTAGGAGATCCAGAATGACACCACAATCAAATCCAGCATTATGTTCAAACTTAAATGCTTCTAAAACTACTGTAGCATTTGGGGTGAGAAACCGGTTGCTGAAATCTTGTTTTTAAGGCAGTTCTCAACTTTGGCTGCACACTGGAATAATCTGTAAGAGTTTAAAGCTTCTCAAATGATTCTAATATGCAACCAAACTTAAGAACCAGTTCTACATCTATCATACAAAGATCATCAATGGCTGTCTCTCTAGTCACTAGTAGGACAAAACAAGTAAAAGCTTGTGAATTCTAAAAGTAACTATAGGGGCGTCTGGGTGGCGCAGTCGGTTAAGCATCCGACTTCAGCCAGGTCACGATCTCACGGTCCGGGAGTTCAAGCCCCGCGTCAGGCTCTGGGCTGATGGCTCAGAGCCTGGAGCCTGTTTCCAATTCTGTGTCTCCCTCTCTCTTTCTGCTCCTCCCCCGTTCATGCTCTGTCTCTCTCTGTCCCAAAAATAAATAAACATTGAAAAAAAAATTAAAAAAAAAAAAAAAAAATAAAAGTAACTATAACAGAATAAGTATCGTTGAGACAAAAAAGTCCATCACCAGATTATGGCAGTAGATATTCAGCAAAATGATATTCTTACTTAAAATGATTTTGTCTCTACTATAATTGTGAATATTAATATGCTGATAAAACTGCCAAGATATATTTGATGTAAAGGCGGTGATTAAATCTATGCTCTGTCAAAAGGTCAGCTTTTTAAAAATTTTACTTGTTAAGACGCAGTCACATTTTTTTCCCGTGGTTTTAATGAAGACAATATTGTAGAGAATGTAATATTGTGTTATATATATGCTAAAGATTGGTGAATAAAAACTGGTAATAGTTAATTTCTATTACTCACAGACTTGTTTTGTGATATCTGTATTTACTTACCAGAACCCCAATTTAAAATGTTGCTGTTGTATCTGATTGTTTTCCAAAAGGGCACTGGAAATTGCTTCCTCCAAGAGCAAAACATATTATCAACATATCAAGCATAAGATGAAGATATGCATCTCTGTTAAGTTCCTACGTGATGCTCTTGGTCTAGGAAGCATGCTTAGTACAACCAGTTCTATAATTTAGCTCTATGTGGTTGCAAAAAATCCCTGCCCATATCAGTGAAAATTTAAAGAGCTGCCAGAGAAGAGTAAAAATGTACTAGACTTGACATCAATTCCCCTTATTGGGATTAAGTTGGTTTGATCGCTCTAGCTATTTTGTTGTAAACATTTTTTTATAAGCCAGAAGAAACATTTTAGAGATACATATAAGCCATCCATTATGTTGTGGTTTGCAAATATCTTACATACTCACCCGAATATACATTTTATACAGTGTTAAAGTGATTTAAGATTTGTAGGCTTTACCAGATCACAAAAAGTACAGCATCTGCTTGGTAGGTTTCTTGAAGTTAGGTTTATGATATTACCATCTGTAATGTATCTTTTCATCTGAGTTTGTGCGCCATAAAATTTATGACCTAGATGAATATATTATGGGCAGCATTATTTCTATTCTTTATATTCTACAAAGAACCACAAAACACTGGAATGTTTTTCTCTAGAGTTCTATTTCTATTCTTGTATTCAAAAAATCTTCCCTGTTTATGTTCAAAATAAACAACTATATCGTTACTTCCTGTGTTTTACTTCAATTGCAGTATACTTGGAATATAGATGTACTTGGAAAAGTCAAGAGTACATCAAAACTACTACAAGAGTTGAAAATTACAGTTAATGTTTCAGAAGAAATCTGCTCACGTTTGCAGGTTCTTTATCTTTCCATTAAAAGATGAAAAAAAGCCATCCTAGCCATGCTTCACATTTAATCAGATTCTTCAATATTAATGCATAAAAGCTTTGGAATAAATCAGTCTCAACCAGGAACAGTTTGTGTTAGAAAAAACTAGAGTAAAAGCTAACATTCAATTTTCCATGTTCGGAATGTCTGAGAAAGCATTTTTTGACTATTAAAAAAGTTTATTTAACAAAAAAGTTCAATATGAAAATGCATGACCTGATTTTTATATTGTAGTAAAACAGGTGCTATGAAGGGGACACGTGGAAGCAGTTGGTTTCTTCTGGTGAACACACCCATTGTTTATACTCGTTCCAAGGCTTCTAACATGATGATACTATTTCCTCGAATTACCTTAAAAAAAAAAACAAAAAACAAAAAAACAGTTTATTTGACATACTGATGAAAGAATTTTCACAAAATTAATGGTTTTTCAGTATTAAAAATCAGTTGTGAGGCCTTTTTTCAAGACACAGGGTTATTATTACATAAATCTTAATTATGACAAGCTACTAAGCCCTTTGTAAAAAAGATGTACATTTTCTAGATTTAATAAGACTAACAAGTACTCTTGAGATGTCAAGTCCCCATGACTCATTTCATCTTCTAAACCGCAGTACTCAACATGTTCCTCTCGGTCCCAAGGAATCTGTTAAGTCAATAGGATAAATGTACAGAATATGTCAGTTTAGGGGTACAAGATTATTTAGGGAAGAAACCAGGATGGAAGTTGTGAAAAATATGCTTTATGAAGATGGCATTTAGTTGGGTCTCGAAAATGGGGTAGATTTTTGACAGAAGACCAGAAACTCTAGACAAAACCAAGATGAGAAAGTATAGGGGGATAAGGAAAGACTCTAATTTGAATGCAGTAAAAGGTTATGACAGGAAATGGGAAACAAAGACAGCCTGCACTCAAATCTTAGAAGACTTCAAACACCAATGTTAAGATACTTGGAGGACAACATAAAACCATGTAAGACAGTGAAGTTTCACAGTTGAGGGAATAACCACTGTTCTGGCAATAAAAGAATTGGAGCTTAGAGGCAGGAAGAGAAGTTATAAAGAGCACAGTGCTTAATCAGTAATCATTCTGCAAATGAAGATAAGGAAGGATATTTATGAGCATAGGTGAAATGGCCAGTAACAGTTCAAGAGAGTTAGAATACAAGGGGCAGAAAAATACGTCAAACTAGAAGGCAAGGGGACTTCGAAAATAAGGAGCCCCTGGTGGACTGTAGGTCACACTGCAATCACAGATCAGGTCCAGTAGAGCTGGCGAGGTGAAAAGACAGGAGGGGGATGAGAGGAAATACTAGAAATGGAAGCATTCTGATTAGGATTAAAAGTGGATCTATGCCTATAGGCAGCTGAAGTAAAAATAGCTGTAACTTGTTCTTTTCTCCCCTCATTCTATTTGCTTTATTTATCATATACATTGTTATGGTCTTCCTCGGGAAAATGTCATTTATTTAAAAAAAAAAAAAATTAAAAAAAAAATTTTTTTTTCAACGTTTATTTATTTTTGGGACAGAGAGAGACAGAGCATGAATGGGGGAGGGGCAGAGAGAGAGGGAGACACAGAATCGGAAACAGGCTCCAGGCTCTGAGCCATCAGCCCAGAGCCCGACGCGGGGCTCGAACTCACGGACCGTGAGATCGTGACCTGGCTGAAGTCGGACGCTTAACCGACTGCGCCACCCAGGCGCCCCTATTTTTAAAAAATTTTTAATGTTTACTTTTGAAAGAGAAAGAGAGCGAGCGTGAGTGGGGGAGGGGCAGAGAGCGAGGGAGACAGACTCTGAAGCAGGCTCCAGGCTCTGAGCTGTCAGCACAGAGCCTGATGCAGAGCTCGAACCCACAAACTGCGTGATCATGACCTGAGCCAAAGTCGGACACTTTGAGCCACCCAGGGGCTGTGAAAATGTCATTTCTATGAGGGCAGCTGCAGTATCCCCAGTGCCTAAAGCGGTAGCAGGCACAGAGAGGGCTCAGTAAGTCCCTGTTAAATAAACAAACTTGCGTGTGATTACTGCAGCTGACAGATCGGAAAGGAACAATGTCTTGGAGGTGGGAGTGTCTTGGAGCCTGGCAGATACAAACAGCAATGAGCATGATGAGAAGGTGGCAAAGAAGTAAAAAGCAGCATGAAAAAAAGAACAATGTCCTGAAAATAGGGACTGAAGGAGCCTATACACTTTTACTCTAAGTTAGGAATAAAAATCTAAACATGCTTATTTAGTTCTCAGAGTTTTAATTCCTGGGTTATTTGCAACAGATGGTGAATATCAGATCTCACTGATCAAAGCATGAAAAACTACTAGCTTTCTTTGCTCTCTGCTAAATGTGTCCATTTCTGCTGACCCCTTTCCCTAGAAGGGGAGGATGGCAGAGAAGTTATTTCATATAACTCAAACGTTCAGATCAGAGGCTTTTGGGGGCATTATTAAAAAACAAAATAACACTGTGTCACTCTCATCAACATTTTCTAAAATGGTAGGTATTGCACACTTCTTTGTCCTCTCACATAATACACGAAATAAGGCTAGCGAGTGGACACCTTTGTTATATAGTAATTCTCCTCTTTTCTCATTGTGTTTAGGCCTCATTCTCCAAATCAAACTGGAACCATCAGGTCTAGAATTCCATAGTGCTCCTTGTGTGCTTCAAGGCTAGTTTTTGCGAAGTGTTGCAAAGGCTTTTTGTCTCTTGAAAGGGCAGAGCTATCTACTAAAGAATACAAACCTAAAATGGAGCTATAGAACCACAAAGCTAGTAGGAACTCTTGAACTATGCAGCATCTTAATATAGAATTTTTACTACATTCTTAGGGGAACTCTAGGGATGGAGTGGAATCTTGAAGACAGAAGTGAGGCCACTGACAACTCTGGGGATATCTCAGAACAGGCTAGTTGAGACATCATTAGGTAATTATCCAGTTAACAGATACAGATTACCTCCCCTTCAGAACACACACATTTCTTTTAAGTTTATTTATTTATTTTGAGAGAGGGAGAGAAAGAGCACAAGTATGGGAGGGGCAGAGAGAAGGAAAGACAGAATCCCAAGCAGGCTCAGCTTTGTTAGCAGAGCCCAATGCGGGGCTCAAACCCACGAACTGTGAGATCATGACCTGAGCCGAAATCAAGAGTCGGACACTTAATTGACTGAGCCACACAAGTGCCCTGAACACACACTACTCTAAATATAATAGTATAAAGTCATTTCAATGGCCTCAGTGGGTCAATGACTTGAACAAGGGAATAACAAAGGCAATGTTTGGCTTTGCCAAACAACTTGTAAAAACAAAACTAACCTATTTGTTTCCCTTCTTTCAACCTCAGAAAAGCCATCCTTGCATTTTCTTTAGAATGTCTTTTTATTTTATTTATTTATTTAGTTATTTATTTATTTTTTCAACGTTTATTTATTTTTGGGACAGAGAGAGACAGAGCATGAACGGGCAAGGGGCAGAGAGAGAGGGAGACACAGAATCGGAAACAGGCTCCAGGCTCCGAGCCATCAGCCCAGAGCCCAATGCGGGGCTCGAACTCACGGACCGCAAGATCGTGACCTGGCTGAAGTCGGACGCTTAACCGACTGCGCCACCCAGGCGCCCCAGAATGTCTTTTTATTAAGGACAACTGATAGGTTATCATTATTTCACTTTCCAAGTGCTAATCAGCTGCAAGTATTGCCTACTAACACAAACATTTTTTTGGTCACACAACAAGCATCAGAGGTGGAAGAGCTGATTGCCTAACACAGTAAGTAGGTACTCATTATCTGAATGACTTCGAGATGGCACTGCTTTTAACCAATTTCTGTGTAACAATTAAGGCCATGAAAATTTAGGGGGAAGGGGTGCCTGGGTGGCTCAGTCGGTTAAGCGTACGACTTTGGCTCAGGTCATGATCTTGTAGTTTAGGAGTTCAAGCCCCGCGTCCGGGCTCTGTGCTAGCCTGGAGCCTGCTTTGGATTCTGTGTCTCCTCCTCTCTCTGCCCCTCCCATGCTCATGCTCTGTCTCTCAATAATAAATAAACGTTAAAAAAAAATTAAAAATTCAGGGGGAAAATTTTGAGACAGATGATCTAGGTTCGATTCCTTCTCTGATAAAATTCCAAGAAGTGTCACACAAATCTCTGAAACCTTGTCTTCCCAAATTAGAGCAGACTTTTAAAAAGTTTTATTTACTTATTTATTTGAGACAGAGATGGGGGGGGGGGCAGAGGGGCAGAGACAGAGGGAGAGAAAGTCCCAAGAAGACAGAGCAGAGACTGACTTGAGGCCTGGACTAACGAATCGTGAGATCATGACCTGAGCTGAAATCAAGAGTTAACCGATTGAGTCAGCCACGTGCCCCAGAACTGACTTTTAGACATCAAAGTCATTATTGAATCTTTTTTAACAAATCTGTTGAGATACGAACTAAAAATCAAAACTACCCTCTTAGAATCAATATTTCTGAATTTGTAAGAGGAAGGGCTAGAGAAAAATCTTGGGACTATTTAAGAACTGTTTTTAGAAGAAACTAGGTGCTAATGATTTGTCCACAGTTTTATTCATTTTCAATAGAAGTTCAAGGAAAATATACCTTAAAAGGAAGGTCAATTTGCATAAAACTTGGAGGGGGAGGGGAGTCTCCCCCGTCCCTATCTAGAGACTGACTCTAAGCTGTTTTTCCAGCCCTGACCATCATGTTTTTCAAATGGAAAAGCATTTGCAAGAAGCACTAACATACACTTTGGAAAGAGTGATTAAAAATTGTGAGGCATGGGCACTTGAGTGGTTCAGTTGGATAAGTGTCTGACCCTGATTTATGCAATGCAGAGCCTGCTTGGGTTTCTCTTTTCTCTCTCTTTCCCTCCCCCTCCCTCCCCTTTCTTCTCCCTCCCTCTCCCTCTCTCTCTGCCTCTTCCCTGCTCTGGTGTGCCCATACGTACTCTCAAAATAAATAAATAAATAAACTTAAAAAAAAAAAAAAAGGCAAGGCTAACAATTATGAACTTTTACCACCTTTTAGAGATCTTTATGTTCAGTAATTTGCTAAAGCAGAAGTTGTCCTTTTTAATTTACTTTTCCCAAGAAATCTGGGGCTTACCACTTACTGGGTATATTGTCCTGTGCTGGACAAAGAGTGGAGTTCAAAGTCTGGGTTTTGTTGACAAACATCAAAAACTTTCTCAGTAGCCATACCACCATGCCCTAATGAATATAGAAATGTTTACTCCTATAATTGTTTCTGGGTTTTTTCCTATTTTCTTTCATGTGAATGGCTGTCACTGTGATCATCCCTTGCAACTTTTACCTTGGCCACTTTAAAAAAAAAAAAAATCTTTTTTTTAAAACATTTATTCATTTTTGAGAGACATGAGTGTGAGTGAGGGAGGGCCAGAGGGAGCCACAGAATCCAAAGCAGGCTTCAGGCTCTGAACTGTCAGCAGAGTCCAATATGGGGCCTGAACTCACAGACCAGGAGATCATGACCTCAGACGCTTAGCCAACTGAACCAACCAGGTGCCCCTACCCTGAAGGCCACCTTTAAATTTGGGTGTGACAAGTCAGAAAATCTGGGTTTAATTATACATACAATTAAAATCAAAAAGTATGATTTGGCCTGGCAGATTTGGATCACATGGGCACTTGTTAGATAAAATCTTAAAAAACAAAAATGTAGATTCTATGTAACCTCTACACCCAACGTGGGGCACAAACTCACAACCCCGAGATCAAGAGTCACATGCTCTTCTGGCTAAGTCAGCCAGGCGCCCCAACAGAACATGCATTTTATAAGAAGATTTTCTGGGAATTCATAAGCATGTTAAAATTGACTATAACGAAGGACTGACTTTGGCCTCTATTATAAAGACTTTGCTAAAGCAAAGTCAAAAATGACTTCCTACTATTGTTTCAAATCCAAGAACTTCAGAGTGTTCTGCGTAAGATTCAGATCTAACCTACAAGAATGGAGATTACATCACAGCTGAATGACTGCCATATGTCCAACTAAATGGGAGATGGAAAGTTTAATCTTGCCTGTTATTTTCCTAATTCCATTTTACCCCAAGACTTTAATAGAAGGGAAATTAATCCTTATTCCAAGATAAATACAAAATCTCCAAGAGAAACCTTCTATCTTTACTTACCACCATTCCAATATTGTTCTGTTGCCCACTAGTTGCCATCTCCACACATTCATCTATCACAAGATTCATAAAGGGATCGAACCCCCGCAATATTCCTTGGACATGTCTGCCACCATTTAATTTCACTATAAAATGGGAAAAAGAAGTTTAATAAAACTGACCATTAAATATCAACTGTTCATTAAAAATTAAGTGGAATAAAACTCAGGTACCTGAGATATATAATCCATTGTCCTTATTATCTACCAAGCAGTGTGCTACACATTTCACGTTTAATTCCATGTTTAAACTTACCAAAAAAAAAAGGGGGGGGGGGGGCGCCTGGATGGCCCAGTCGGTTGTGTCTGACTTTGGCTCAGGTCGTGAGTTTAAGCCCCATGTCAGGCTCTGTGCTTACGGCTCAGAGCCTGGAGCTTGCTTCAGATTCTGTGTCTGACCAATCACACTTGGTCTCTCTCAAAAATAACAACAACAAACCCCCCCAAAAATCCAGGTACGGGAATGGGTGAAATAGATGATGGGGATTAAGGAGTGCACTTGCCATGATGAACACAGGATAATGCATGGAAGTGCTGAATCACTATACTGTACACCTGAAGCCAATATAACACTGTATGTTAACTATATTGGAATTAAAATAAAATTTTAAAGAAAAAAAAACTTATGAAAATCCTATCCAGTAGAATTATCATAACTTTTTATGAGGGAAATGAAGTATAGAGCTTCTTAAGAAACTGGTTCAAGGTTTTACAAGTACTGTGGGCTAGAAATGGAATTCAAAGGGAAGGCTGCTTGCCTTTGAAGCCCTGGTCTTAACTCCTATATACTTCAAGTACTGTACAGGTCAGATTTTTAGTCATAGTCCAAGTCCTTTGCTTTAAAGGAAAAAAGGTTGTTAAATTATCAAATATCACAAAATAGGAAAATCCCATTAATTTTGTCTAAGTGAGGGAGGGCTTCTAGGAAATAGTACTGTGCAATCTGTTAACCATCAGAAATTAGGGGGGTGCTTGGGTGGCTCAGACAGTTAAGTGTCTGACTCGATTTTGGCTCAGGTCATGATCTCACGGTTCATGGGATTGAGCCCCACAATGGGCTCTGCACTGACAGTGCGGAACCTGCTTGGGATTTTCTCTCTTCTTCTCTTTGCCACTCCCCTATGCACTCTCTCTCAAAATAAAAAGACAAACATTAAAAAAGATTAGATAACAGAATTGCTTGTGTAAGATTTCAATAAACCTGCTTAATTAATGGATGTGAATTAGAGGTCCTGTGTGCTGTAAATCTTTATAAAGTTGCTCCAAACATTATATTGCCAAGACAATGCAGAAAGCAACTAACTAAAAACGAAACAAAAGACCCCAAAAAAACTTACATGATAATTTCTTGTCCATAAATCTGAAAAAGCAAAAAGGGTAAAATTATATAAATGATTAAAAAAATTTAAGCATAAATAAGCACAAAAGTAGGTACAGTCAATATAATTTGTTAAAATTGGACAATAAAAATAATGAAATTTAAAATAGCAAAAACCTTGTACTGCTGTAAAGGAGACAGGAATAAAGGGGTACCTGATTTAGCACTTACACAGAGAAATAGAATTTAGGAAGGGGCAAGATAATAAAAATGGAATGGATTTAGATTATATTAATGTACATCAATTGAGTCTTTATCCTGATACGAATTACAAAAACTTTCTTGTTGTTCAATACTGACCTAATTTTTGATGACTGGACTTTACTATATTTAAAGATTTCAAAATTATTTTTGGGGCACCTGGGTGGCTCAGTGGGATGAGCGTGTCTGACTTTGGGTCAGGTCATGATCTCATCGTTTGTGAGTTCAAGCCCTGTATCAGGCTCATGGCTGTCAGCATGAAGCCTAAGCTTTGGATCCTCTGTTCCCCTTCCCGCTCAAAAATAAACATTAAAAAAAATTTTAAGTTTTAGAGCCCAACATGGGGCTCTAACTCACAACTCCAAGATCAGGTGTTGCATGCTCTACCAACTGAGCCAGTCTGGTGCCCCTTGATGACTGGATTTTATAGCCATAACAAAAACAAAGATGTGTTTAGATTTTGGTTATTAGCAAAACCAAAGCTGTGAGAAAACTAGAAGGTAATAAAAGTATATCCAAATCAATAGCTATTTTATATTTGAGACAATAAGGAGAGTTCTTTTATTTAATATTAAGCATCAATCTTAAGTGTTCAAGATATTCCTCAACACTTAAGTATTTTTTAGCAAAATAAATACATATCTTGAAGCTTTAAAAAAAATCTGGATTAAACAGGGAAATCCCATCTCAGCAGGATATTATGAGAATACTAAGCTATGTAGTCAAACCAGTTTTTCCCTCTTCCAGTTACAGGCTACAAAATATGAAATTTCATGCAATTTTAATGCAGAACATATCATGGGAGAATTTAAATATAAATAAGACAGGCCTGACAAAAGGTGTGAGAAGACACACAAATAAAAATATTTAGTATGGTAATTTTATTTTAATATGATATATACAATGCAACATAACACACAAGACTTAATCTTTATGATGACTATATGATGACTTTATGATGAGTTATATATTGTTATTACCACCACTGTATAGATGAGGAACTGAGTCTCAGAAAGGTTAAGTAAATTGCCCAAGGCCACAGAGCAGGTGAGACAGTTTAAGCAAATACAAATGGTTCATTTTGGCTGGAGAATAGGGCAAATATTAGTGTGTGTAATATTTGGTGCTTGGATTTTAGATGGAGGAGCTTGAATGCCAGGTCAAGAACTCTGGACTTTACCATGCACACAGTGATAAATTAGTAAAACAGAGTCCAGTCTTTGGCAAGACTACTGTGGCAGCAATTTTTAAGAGGTGGGAGGGAGAATTTGGTTAGGCCTTGGTATCTTGACCTCCACATTAACATCTGGGGCCAGATAATTCTTTGTTGAAGGATGTCCAGTGCATTGTACAATGTTGAATAACATCCCTGGCCTCTACTCACTAGATGCTTGCTGACAGAACCCGAATTCCTAGCCCCTAGTTAAGAACTACTGAGTTAGGCTAAACCAGGAGGAGGGCATAAAAGAATAAAAGATGGTATTTATGAGACGGTAAAGGAAAAAAAAAACTGAAGGTCATTTTTGAGGTAGGTCTCAAAGGACTTCACAACACATGAAATGTAGAGATGAGAAAAATATTAAAGCTAGTTTCATCCTCTGAAATTCTCAAATAGGAAATCTAACATTACACGTAGAGAACGACTCTTTTGTTAAAAAATAATCACCATTTTATCAGTTCTTGATAAATCCAGGATACCTGTAAGATTTTATCAGCTCATCAATAAAAGAGTAAGTTTCAGATTAGCGTTTTACAATAATTTTGATTTTTCTTAAAGTTAGGCTTATAATTTTTGCACAAATGGCTTTGATACAAATGTGCATTTAAATGTAAATATGACCTTTCAATTAAGTCTGACTTCTTTATGGAGCTGGAGCTATACAGAGGCCAGATGGCTTTCTCCCAAATTGATCCCTGAAACAATTTTGTATCTGTTGTGTTATCTAACTACTACCTGCAGAATTTTGGCATTACATGGTCTAAACAGAATAGAGACATACTTAGGAGGCATGGAACATGTTAAGTTCAGTCAGGCGTGTTTGAAGAGGTTAAAACTTTAAACTGCGTCTATCTTAAAAAAAATTTTTTTTTCCAACATTTATTTATTTTTGGGACAGAGAGAGACAGAGCATGAACGGGGGAGGGGCAGAGAGAGAGGGAGACACAGAATCGGAAACAGGCTCCAGACTCTGAGCCATCAGAGCCCGACGCGGGGCTCGAACTCACGGAGCGCGAGATCGTGACCTGGCTGAAGCCGGACGCTTAACCGACTGCGCCACCTAGGCGCCCCTAAACTGCGTCTATCTTAAATAGGAATATCCTGTTTGGAGTTGATTTTACTGGGTGCAGGAAAAAAACCCAAAACCCTAGTCTTCTCTGACAGGAAAAAAAAAAAAAAAAAAAAAAAAAAAAAACCAAACAAGGAAGGTTCTCACACAGCTGGTAACAGAGCCAGGTATCAAATGACATTCACATTTAACTTAAGCACAAGAAAGCAAAAGAAAGGAATAGGATTTCCAAATTAAAGCTCAAAGTTGAGGCATCTGAGTGGCCCAGTCGGTTATGCGTGGGACTCTTGATTTCTACTCAGGTCATGATCTCAGTCTCCTAAGATGAAGCCCAGCAGGCTCCTCGGTGCTGGAGTCTGCTTGAGAACCTTTCCCCCTCTGCCCCTCTCCTGCTTACAACTCTCTCAAACAAAACAAAACCTCAGAGACAGCTATAAACTAAAAAACTAAAGTGGCTTTATAGGGCATGCCTGGGTGGCTCAGTAAGCTAAGCATCCTACTCTTGGTTTCAGCTCAGGTCATGATTCTAGGGTTGGTGAGCTGGAGGCCCGCCTCTGACTCTAGGGAAGTGCAGAGCCTGCTAGGAGGGATTCTCTCCCTCTCTTTCTGCTCCCCACCCCCGTGCTCACTCTCTCAAAATAAACTTAAAAAAATTTGCTTTTGACTCCTCATACACTATTAAGCACGTCCATTCTGCCCATCTTAGTTCTTTATATATAAATTACTCTCCAGCCACCTTATCTAGAACTTAACGCTATTCAAGATGTTCAACAAAGAATGGCACCCCAGATCTCCAAGCAAAGGAGAAAGAGCGTGAGAGTGCGTTGGGAGACGTGGGCTCGGGAGATCTAGCTAGAGAGGCGAGAAGACAGTACAGAGGCGGCTTGCCCGTCAGTGATAACCAAACCATGCAGACCAAGCCTAAACGAGATGTCTGCGCGGGCTTCAGGCACAGGCGCGGGACGCTCCCAGGCTCTCCGCGGCCTCGGCCCGAATACGCACGCCAGGCACACTGGAGGAAATGGAGAAGGACCTAAGTAACTCGAAGCACGGAAAGAAGCTACTACTTAGACGCAGACCTCTCACATACTTACTTTTTCAACTCGGGAGGGTGAGCTTTGCTCATGATGCTTACTCGGCGAGCTCCAAGATGCCTCCAAACGGAATTCGTGGAGTCCTTCACGCTCCCGCGTTAGGCCCGGCGTTTTGCGTCTGACGTCACCAATCCCGTCAGCCAATCCATTGTTGGCGGATTTCACATTTTACCTCGCGATACTTACGGCTTAGGGGGAGGCCTTAACTCGCCTATCACGCTCGAGCTTTCGGTTGCGTCGCCAGCGATTGGCCAAGAAGGGGTGAGGGGTGGGGCCTCAAGTTCGCGTCTCAATTCCGTTTCCTCGTGTGTAAGATTGGCTTAATGGTTCAGTCTCTAGCTTTTAGGCGAAACCACTTAATCCCCTTCTTTGTGCATTGTTTCGGTTATCTTCTTCAATATACTAAGTGAATCTAGGTTCTGGAGGAGCAGGCCCTTAATTTCTTTGGCGTATATTCCTACATATTGTCATGGTAAGCCTAGGGTTCAGTAACATCAATTAAAGACCTCTGGACACCAGAGAAGTTGGGTGATTGGCCTCAGTTTCTAAGAACTTTAATCTATAGCGTGGAAGTGTATTCCCTGACAGTCCTGCAATTCTTGTAACAATGTCTCCAGAACCCCACTTAATGTACCTTGCTCCTATATAAAAAACATGAGTAATCTCTGAGACACTCTTGACTTAAAAATCAATTCAAATGTAAAAAGTGATCTCTGACTTGCTCCCAGTTAGGTTATCCAAAACAGAGGAATACACATTTATGGATAAATAAAATTGGGATTACATAAGACTTAGGCCAAAATAGTAAAGCTTTGGTGATTCTAAGTAGGGGAGGGGATGATTGTCCAAAATTCAATTCATTCCTAATTTTCAGGAATGGATCTATTTTAATACTAATGATAGTAAAGATTTAGTTAAACTCATCACATAGTTTGTATTCTTGGTACTCAAAATCCTAGACATTCCATTTTCTCAAGAGGGTTCCTTAACTACCCCTCTATCTCTTGCTGTTACTGTTAAGTTGAAGCTAGAGACCTGAAATGCATATCGAATTTCTTTTTTTAGCCTTATAGACAGTTTCTTTTTACATTAACGGACTTTAAGTCATAGTGCCTGTCCTCAAAGTTTCTCCCATTTACAATGAACCAGTTCTGCATTTGAACCATAACTCATAACAAATCTTCACCCTTCATGACATTTGAAGAAACTTATTTCACATTACAAGGAGAAGCATCCTAAGAAAGTTATATATTCATTGCCCAGATATATGTCAAGAAACACAGTAGTGGAGGAAAAACTAAACCTTATTTATTTTTTAAAACTGAACCACTAGGAAAATATATCACAGCCTTGAAACACCAAACACAGGCTATATTATCATTTTAAGTAATAAGATGGTAAAAAGACAATAAGGTCCTTATCAAAATGAAAAGGTGCTAGAGCTGGGGCAGGAACACTGCTTGCTGTAAAGGCCCCAGGCAAAAGTGGTATTTGGTAATAGAGGCAGGGTTTGCCCCTCTTTTGCTTTAAAGGAATCACAGCTCACCCCTGAGTTGATTACTTTTTCTCCTTTGACCTTCTTGTTGCCAAGAGATTGTCTCGATATGGCTCTGTTATTTCAGGGGGAGAGACAAGCAATGCTGAGTTTAGGATTTCATTCCATTCTGTTCTGTAAAAACCATGTTTTTCCATATCCAGTACTTAATATTTCTCTTAAGAAGGCAACAGTTCCTCCTTCAATGTTCATTCCTGGATACTGGTATATAGTGCAATCAACCCCCCCACTTCCCTTCAAGGGAGAGTATCACTGTAAGATTGTCCTGTCACTCTGCTGCAGACAGTCTCAGGGCCCATCATGGCAGCCAGTGAGACGGAAGGTCTCTCCATACCCAGCGTAACATCGCCTCTCATGTTTTTGCAGGGTCTTCCAGCTGAAAGACGTAATGCATCTTTCGAGAAATGCATATCCACATCTTCATTGGCAGAAACAGATATCCATAAGAACTGTTCAAAGTTCTTATCCAAACTACCTCTCCCAATGCCACATCTTAAATCAATTTCATGCCCTTGTATATAAAATAAAACCAAGCAAAACAAAGCTCAGAAACCTCTTTTCCCTTCTAAATTAGTGACCTCACGGACTTTGTTTTACAGCTTACGGAAAACGATTTAGTGACCCTTCTGGTGAACAGGAGGTTGGCAACAAACAGAAACACCTCTGCTCATACCACCAGATCACAGAAAGGTTACAGGAACCTGCCAGCCTGTTGGTACCTGTATGCTAAAGAGAATCTGGTACCTTGGAGGGCTCTGGCTTAGTACAAGGGAGATCCCTAGTGCCAGGACAAGCATGTGAAATTTAGGTATCAAAAACTCTCCTGTGCTATCTCCGACGCAAATTTTAGCACCACTTTTTTTTCATTTCACTTTCCAGGGTTGAAACATAAAGGAACCAGTGTCCAGAGGCAAGTGACACATGCCTCAAACTTGCTGCCATCCTTAATTTCTTCATAAACTTCATTTTAAAGACCAAAACTCCCATTTCTCTTTTTAAATAGATTCCCGCTGTCAGCCCAGATGGCCAGTTGCAAAGACTTCTATTTCCCAATGGACAAGAGAGACTCCTTCATCTTCTTGGTCATGGTCGGGATGAGGTGCATGTGGTCATCCACACACTTGGTCACACAACTCTCCAGCTGCCGCTTCACCTGAAGCTCTTTACTTCCCGCATCTATTGAATCTTTGGCTTTGTCATTGCAATGCATGGTGCACCGGGCCAGGCGGTCCTGTGGCAAGAAGGAAGATGGTAGAGAAGGCTGAAAGGCTGGCCTTCATTTACCAAGTGCATACCATGTGCTAGGCCCTCTGCTACATATTTTGGCTTGACAAATATAATCTTGATCAACTAAAGGGACACTATAGTGCAATTAACCAAGGTTATCCTGACTGAAATGGAGGGTAGCACAGGAGGGTCCAGACAAAGCATTACAAGACAGAATAAATTGTACAGAAGCCCCTCCCAGGAAATGAGAAGTACCCAGTGGCTACTGTTAGTCAGCTATAGTTAAGATTTACAAACATTTTGGGGTGCCAGGGTGGCTCAGTTGGTTAAGTGCCTGACTCTTGATTTTGGCTCAGGTCATAATCTCATGGTTGGTGAGATGGAGCCTCTAGTGGGTTCTGTGCTGACAGCTTGGAGCCTGCTTGGGATTCTCTCTCTCCCTCTCTCTCCTCCCCTCCCCTGCTTCGGTGCAATCTCTCTCAAAATAAACAGACATTAATAAAAAATTTAAAAAAAGACTTAGAAATATTTTGATTCTTTAATATCTGTCCTTGTAACAGAAAAACACTCAACAAGTATTTATTGAGTATTTACTATGTGCCAGGTACTCTTCTAATGCTGGTGACTATAGCAATGGGTAAACAGATAAAGTTCTTGCCCTCACTGAACTTATATTCCAGTGAGGGAAGATAGACAAAATAAGTGGAGGGTGGATATATGAATCTGGAGATCAGGAGTGAAGTTGGTCTAGAGATATGAATGAATGTAGGAGTTGTCAGGCTATATATGATATTTATAGCAGGTATTTATAGCTATGAGACTAGAGAACCAGATCCAAAAGAGAAAAGGTCCAAGGACAGCCCTAGGCACTCTCATGCTCACATGCTGGAGAGGGGAAAGGCAGGAAAGGAGGCCAAGAAAGGATGGGCAGGGAGACAGGTGGAAAACCAGAGAGAGGTGTCTTGGTGCCCAACTGAACAAACTATTTCAAGGAGGAGGGGAGTGATCACTGTGTCAGTGATGCAGACAGGTTGAGTAAGATGAGGGATGAGACACGACTACTGGATTTAGCTCCATAGAGGGGAGTGGCCAGAGCAGTTCTGGCAGAGTAAATCTAATCTAATTAGTAAATCTAAGAGTAAATCTAATTGTAGAGGACTAACAGAAGGAGAAAGTTACACAGCAATTCAACAGTCAAAATTTCAAAGAGCCTATCTACAAAATTAGCTGTAGTTCGGGACCTTGGATTAAGTTATTCCTCACAGTGTCAGTCATTTTGAAGAATTCTGTATAGCAGAATGTAAAAATTGTATACTAGATACAATTTTTCCCATGCAGACAGAATCTCAGGCTATGAAAAACTGGTTCAGAAGGGGGCTCTGCTTTTCCAACCTGCAGGAAAGTATAGTCATAGGAAGGGAATAAAATGAAGTTGTGGCTACCCTTTTCTCCAGAGACAGATACAGTGGATACCTTTTGCTTTTAGCGACCTCAGAAGGGCTTGTGAGGAAGGCATCAATGAGTCAGCAATACTAATGCTTGATATAAATGACTGCTCTTTAGTGACACAGGAGCTGCCCTTTGGGTATAGCAAACGGGGGGGGGGGGGGGTTCTGGGTGGGCGAATCCACAAAATGATGGCAGGATATTGCTCTAATCTGCACCTCTTTAAGACTAGCCTACTTCACTTTCCTGGGGATTGTACTATTTTAAGAATGAATTAATACATGTTTTAGAAAGCTTTATGCTATACACTATACGTATTATATCTTGTGTCTATGGGGGAAAAAGGCTTTTGATCATGAACTCCCTTTTACAACACTGTTTCTATGGGAAATACTTATAGCACTCAACCTCCAGGAGTTTTTCACAAATTTCAAACCCTGTGAAGACTGGCTGGCCACAGGACTGTTCAAATGTTAAAAGAACCAAGACATTAAAGCCAAACACTTGTCATCTCCTGCAAAAGAGCAATATCAAGGACCGGAGTCCTCTGTTTGGGCTTTCCTCACCTGGAACTTCTCCAGCTCAGTGGTCACCAGGGCCTGGGCTTGGGCCAGAGGTGCATGGCAGCGTTCAATGCACTGGTGCACCTGCTGCATGGACGCCTGGCTGTCTTCACAACAGTTGGCACTGCACCGGAACATGAGGCCCTGGGGAGGGTGGGCAGAGTGAAGTTAGGTAGGAAAGCCTCTGGGGCAGAGATAACCATGGAGTGCAACAGAGGAGCGCCTACATTTGCACCTCTCCTTCTAACAGACATCAACAACCTAAACCCACAAATGGGAAAATTATCCTCGAAGCCTAGCAGAGTGTTTCGTGGTCTTCTTGCTGCTAGCTCATTGGCAC